GAACAAATTATTTACACAGGCTGAAGGTAAAAAGATGGAAAAAAATATTCTATGCAAGCATACATGGAAAAAGAGCTGGAGTAGCAATAATCATATCAGACAAAATAGACTTCAAAACAAAGGCAATGACGAGACACAAAGAAGGTCACTACATAATAACATAATACTTAAGAGTATAGTCCAACAAGAGGATATAACTGTTGTAAACACATATGCACCCAAAGTAGGTGCGCCTAAATATAAAAAGGAAATCTTGGAGGACTTTAAGGGAAAGATAGACAGCAATACACTCATTGTAGGGGAATTTTAACACCACACTGTCAACAATGGACAGATCTTCCAAACAAAAAAATCAACAAGGATATTGCATCACTGAACGACACTCTAAAAAAATTAGCTTGATATTAACAGAACATTTCACACCAAAGAAGCAAAATATATATTCTTCTCAAACACAAATGGATCATTTTCAAAGACAGACCAAATGGTATAACACAAAATGAGCCTTAACAAATTCAAGAAAATTGAAATGATATCAGCATCTTCTCAGGTCACAATGGCTTGAAACTAGAAACCAAACTCAAGGAAAAAACTAAAAAGCATACAAATACATGGAGGCTGAATAACATGTTATTAAATAATGAATGGGTTAACAATGACCAAAGAAGAAATCAAAAGTATTTGAAAACAAATGAAAATAAAAACACAACAACCCACAACTTATGGGGCACAGCAAAGACAGTCCTATGAGGGAAGTTCATAGCAATAGAGACCTACCTAAAGAAAAGAGAAAAATCTCAAATAAACAGCCAAGCCCTACACCTAAAAGAATGAGAGGAACAACAACAAACAAAGCCTAGAGCAAGCAGAAGGAAGGAAATGATCAAGATCGGAGAAGAATTAAATGACATAGAGACTAAAAAAATAAGGCAATGATCAATGAATCCAGGAGCTAGTTCTTTGAAGAGATAAACAAGATTGACAAACCATTAGCCAAATTCATCAAGGAAAAAAAGAGAGAGAATTCAGATAAATAAAATCAGAAATGAAAGAGAAGTAACAACTGATACCACAGAAACACTAAGGATTATAAGAAATTACTATGAACAACTATAGGCCAAAAAATTGGACCAAAACTGAATCAGGAAGAACAGAAATGCTGAATACACCAGCAACTAGCAAAATTGAAGCAGTAATCAAAAAACTCCAGGCACACAAAAGCCCTGGACCAGAGAACCGACAGGATAATTTTACTGAACATTCAAAAAGTAGCTAACACCTATCCTTCTCAAACTATTCCAAAAAATTTAAGAAGAGGGAAGACTCCCAAACTCTTTTGATGAGGCCAGTATTATTCTAATCCCAAAACCAGGTAAAGACATAACAAATAAAGAAAATTACAGGCGAATATCTCTGGTGAGCATCCAGTTTGCTAAAATCCTCAATAAAATACTAACAAACTGGGTCCAGCAATACATTAAAAAGATCACATACCACAATCAAGTGGATTTATTCCAGGGAAGCAAGGATGGTAAGATATTCTCAAACCAATAGATGTGATACATCAAATTAAAAAAATTGAAGACAAAAATCACAGGATCCTATCAATAGATGCAGAAAAAGCATTTGATAAAATCCAGCACCCATTTATGATAAGAACACTCAGCCAAGTGGGAATAGAGGGAGTATAGCTCAACATAAGAAAGGCCATATATGAGAAATCTACTGCCAATATCATACTCAATGGACAAAAACTAGAAGTGTTTCCCTTAGGATCAGAAACAAGACAAGGCTGTCTACTTTCACCAGTCGTATTCAATGTAGTATTGTAAGTACTAGCCACAGTGATCAGACAAGAAGAAACAGAAGGTTTCCAAATTGGAAAGGAGGACATAAAACTGCCATTATCTGCAGACAACTTGATAGTATACATAGAATACTCTACAGGCTCCACCAAAAAACTACTTGACCCACTAAGTAAATGCTGCGAAGTGATGACATACAAAGTCAATATTCAGAAGTTGATGGCATTTTTATACACCAACAATGCACTATCAGAAAAAACTAAGGAAAAAAAACCAGTTACTATTGCAACAAAAAAAAAAAAAAAAAAAAATAGCACCTAGGAATAAATTTAACCAACAAAGTAAAAGACCTGCACTTAGAAAACTATAGAACACTGAAGAAATTGAGGAACAAACAAATAAATGGAAGCATATTCCATGTTCATGAATTGGAAGAATTAACATCATTAAAATGTACAGAGTACCCAAAGAGATCTATAGATTCAACGTAATTCCTATTAAAATACCAATGGCATATTGCACAGATCCAGAACAAATATTCCAAAAATGTATATGGAACCAATAAAATCCCAAATCGCCACAGCAATCTTAAGAAAGAAAAACAAAGTTGGAAGGATCACAGTACAAGATATCAAACTATACTACAAGACCACTGTAATCAAAACAGTCTGGTACTGGCATAAGAACAAACACATAGATCAACAGAACAGAATAGAGAGGCCAGAAATAAACCCATGTCTTTGTGGTCAATTAATATTTGACAAAGGGGCACAAGCATAAAAAGAAGTAAAAACAGTCACTTCAGTAAATGGTGTCGGGAGAACTGGACTGGTACATGCAAAACAATCCAACTACACCACCAACTTACACCATACACCAGAATAAATTCAAAATCAATGAAATACTTAAATATAAGTTGGGATACCATAGAAGTCCTACTGAAAAACATAGGTGTAAAATTTCAGATATCTCATATAGCAAAATTCTTACTGATAAATCTCCTAGGGCAAGGAAAACAAAAAGGAAAATTAACAAATGGGACTACATCCAATTACAAAGCCTCTGCATGACTAAAGAAACCATCATGAAAATGAAAAGAGAACTGAATGTATTTGCCAACAATACAAGGGTTTAATCTCCAAAATATATGAAGAACTCACACAACTCAACACCAGGGAGATATGCAATCCAATTTAAAAATGGGCAAAGGACCTCAATAGATTTTGCTCCAGGGAGGACATACAGATGGCCCATCAACATGTAAAAACATGCTTAACATCACTAGCCATTAGAGGGATGCAAACTAAATCCACAATGACATATCACCTCAGACCTTCCAAAATGTCTATCATTAACAAATCAATGAACATCGAATGCTGGCAAGGATATGGAGAAAAGGGAACCCTAGTGCACTGTTTGTGGGAATGCAGACTGGTGCAGCCACTGTGGAAAACAACACAGAGTTTCTTTTCCTCAAAAAGCTAAAAACAGAACTGCCTTTTGACCCAGCAATTCCACTGCTGAGAATATATCCTAAGAATCCCGAAACACCAAGTCAAAAGAATTTATGCACCCCTATGTTGATAGCAGTGCTACTTACGTTGGTAGTAAAGATTTGGAAACAGCCTAAGTGCCCATAGGTAGATGACTGGATCAAAAAACTGTGGTGCACTTACAAAATGGAATACTACACAATAGAAAAAAAGAAGGAATTCATACCTTTTCTGACAGCATGGATGGAACTAGATACTATTACGTTAAGTGAAATATGTCAGTCTGTGAAAGACAAATATCATATGATCTCACTTATAAGAGGAATCTAATGAACAAAATAAAACAATGAGCAAAATAGAACCAGAGGCATGGAATCATGGAATAGGCTAACAGCTGTAAGAGGGGAGAGGGAAAATGGGGACTTATTGAAAGAAGGTGAAGGGATTAGTCAAAGAACAGACATGAAGAACCCACAGACATGGACAATGGTGTGGGGGTTGACTACGGAAGTAGCCGGTGGGCTGGGTGGAGGGGACTGAAGGGGGAAATAATAGGACATTTGTAATAACTTAAACAATTAAAATTAAAGTTAAAAAAACTATTTAAAAAACTAAATTATGCTATAGAAAAGATGTAGGAAAACAGTTCAGGGCAGTTATCAAACTTGGGTTCTAAATATATCTAGTAAACAAAAATTCTAAATTTACAAGATTGATCCACTAGAACCAAAGTGATGGTTAATGATTCTCATCTTAATAAATTTTTTAAAAATTATCTTTCATCACCCAAATAGATAGGGAAAATAGCAACAGATATAACATCGTTAAAGTTGATTGATGTTAAAGTTGATTGTTTGGTATAAAACAAATTTAGAAATTTGTTTCCCTAATCAAGTAGACTTACATCCATTAGATTACATTTTAAACTTTAACAAAGATGGCAAACAAGTTCTATCTCACATGATGACTTCAATTTCATGTACATCAACAGCAATAATAATTGTAACAACCCTATGAAGTGGGTACTATTATTATCCCCATTTTACTGACAAGGAACCTGGGGCATTCTTTAAGTAACCTGTCTGAAGTCACATAGCTAATAAGTGGAGAAGAGATCTGAATCCCCGCAGTGGAATGCTAGGATATGTTCCAAACAATTCTGCAATCCTACCCCTCAAGGAAAGTTACCAAGAGCATGTCTGGACATACTGTGGATCTGAATAAATATTAGAAAAAACTTGGGCTCTCCAGTGATGTGACCCAGAGTTCAAATCTCAGCTCTTCCTTTTACAAGCTATGTGATCTTCAGAGCATCACTTAAGTCCCATAAGATTCATTAAGATTCATTTTCTTCCTGTGAAAACGAAGATTCTAATACCTCATTTACAAGTCAAATTACAAGTATTTGAAAAGATGTCAGTATAGTGCCCAAACCTAAGATCTGATTCAGAGTAGGTATTCAGTCAATAGCAGCTAGAACTACAACTGAATATCCTCACAGTGTAAAGAAACATTATACACAATATACAAGAAATTATGAAGCAAATTCTACTCACTATAAAAGTAAAGTTATATTCTTAAATGGCATTTACAGCAAAATTACAGGTTGTCAATGAAATAAAACTTTAAAATACTTTTACTCTGTTGTTAAATCCCTCCTTACAACCCTGTGGTAAGATACCTTTCATTGAGCATACAGTACCTCTTTGATGATTTTCACACCTTTCGGATTCTTGATATTAACAGCTATACTCTAAAAATTAAAATATATATATTAAGATGGTATCATAAAGTTTTTTGTTAATACTAACAGTTCAACAAGGGAGCCATTCATATCATAGATTCTCCTCTTAAAGCAAGTGTTATCTTCCTCCTGAAGAAATATTTAAATCATCTTTATTTTAATAATTTATTTAATTAATTTAATAAATCATCTGGATTTATTTTGCAATCCAGATGTGTTAGAATGTAGTACAGATTACAGTAAAAATTCTTCAAATAATAATACCAAGTGTTCAGCAATTATAAAATCTTGTGAAATGTTAGTAGAGAAGTTAATAGAGAAGAAAGAGTAATAAAAAGCTCTATTATTTCTATTTGGTAACTGTCGAATAAATAAAATTTCACCTTATTTGAAATATTAATTACATCTACAAAAGAGGGTAGAAACAAACAAGGCAGGAGATAATAACAATTTTGTTTCTACAAGAGAATTACATGAAGAAAGCAATTAAAAAAAAAGAATGATATCCTTACTTTTTTATTTCGGTTTACACTGAGAAAATAAGTACTTTCTGTTCCCACAAAAGGTGGCCCCCAAGTTCGTGTATCATCACCAGCTCCTAAAAATAATAATATGAGCTCTTAATCTTCAACTCTGAAACATCATGAGACATTTCAAACCAGCAGGCTCACTCATGATATACACTGCAGGTGCCCAAACAAGGTCAACACAATTCAGTGTAATTAGCAATGCAAAAGAAGCCATAGGAGCCCATTAGGACTATCCAACTCTTTATGTGTTTATGTTAATCATTGAATCCTTCCATATCCTTTCACTAAAACCCATCCCTGAAAGTCAAAATCCAGGAGGATATATTATACTGGCAGTCTATAGATTTAATAAATTGCAAATTCAGGGGGGAAAAATTTACTCTCAGTTTTTGGTAAGCAATTCAGTCTGTTTCTTGCCATTAAGTATGCAAAGAAAATGTTGAGTCTTCAAAAGATGCTTGCTAAATATTATTTAAATCAGAATAGTGATAAGTGACAAAATGGCATAAAATGGCCTCTGAGCCTATGTATAAAACCATGACAAATACGCTATTAAAAAATGTTATAGCAAAATTTTTAATCAGAAAAGGCAAAATAAGTTATTGAATAGAAAATTCAGCTAATTTAAAATATTATTTTAGAATAAAATATTGTATTGTAAACATTTTGTCTAGGCCTTGTTTCTAGTTACAGTTTGAAAAAATAGGGTATTTTATTCTGGACATCTGTTTCAAGTGAAATGTCCCTGTGTTGGATTCAAATTACAGAAAACAACAATTTTCTTCACACAGTAAAGCAACTGGTAAACAACATAGATAGAACTCAGAAAATGAATCAACAGTTAAATGGCACAAAATAGTATCACTTAAAAATTTCAATACAAGTTCTGATTGATATAAGAAACTAATCAACTATATAATTACAGTTAAAGTATTTATCACTAGCCTCCCAAAAAGAATTTGTGAATGTAAGTTAAAGCTTAAATTTCAATCTCATTTTAATGATATAATTAATCTATTAGCCCATCACACTTTACTGAAATTGACCTAGAAAAATAGACACAGCCTTTTGGAATGTACAACAAAACACAGGCAAGTAATAGACTCGTGTTTTTTTTTTTTTCCCCAAAACTCACAAGAGGAACAAAAGACATAGGACAAAAGAGAAAAGAAGCATTAGTTCTAATCAGTTGAACTAATAACAACACAAAACAACAAATGGTAAGTATCAAACAAAATAGCATACTCAAAGCATCAGGGTGGAAAAAAGACAAACTCCAAGAATCCACAAAGGGAATGTCCCAGTAATTAACCAGAGGCTTCATGGAAAAATGCATGGATCTGAATCTTCAGGATCAAAAAGGACCTCTCAGAATCAAAAGAAAGTCCAGACACTTCCATTTTCTTGAAACTCTAAATACATTTAAAAAAAATTTTTTTTTCCAAATTAAGCAATGACACGGTTAAAATTAGTTAAATATTTTCACTGTTTGCATTCATCTCTCAGGTAGACATAATGTCAGAGGGCTAACATAAATTAGACATAAATTGGAGGGCTACATGGTTTTCCTGCCCCACATTGTCTTTGGTAAACAACCAGGGTTTAAGAGAGGCAAAAGAATCAGTGCCAATGGCACATGACAGGAAATAAACATTAAAGGTCACAAACAGGTAAAACTGGCAACTGGAGAGACATGTTTTATTTGACCCATACACAATTTAAAGTTTTTAACTAGCTGCCATAATTTCAAAAATCTGGAGAGCTCATATACAAATTGACTACTTTAATAGATATTTTAGCACATTCAGTCATTTAGCAAATATTTATTGGCCCCTACAATGTCACAGACACTGCTTTATGCAGAGCACATTCAGCAGTAAACAAAAGACCAACACCCCTGCCTTCACAACCCTGCCTACTGAGGACATTCCTGGAATGCCACTAGCATCATTTACAGCCATACATAGCTCACTCCACTCACTTAGGATACCTGCCTGGCCCTGAAGGCATATAGTTTACACTCACTGACTAATGCTAAAAATAGAAAAATATGCTCTTCCATTACACAAATAAAAATAATCTAAGTCTTAAGTCAGAAGACTACAAACAAACTATTTAATGAAAGAACTAAAGAAGTAGACACAAAAAATGATTCTACTAAAATTTAAAAAAATACTACCAAGTGACTTTTTCTCATATATGTATTAAATAACTATGTTAAAAACCCAAAACAATAAAATATATAATACATACACTAAAATGTACTGGGCAGGAGAAATAAGGGAAAGAGATCAATCAGAAAAAGAGTGATGAAAACCTGCTGGGAACAAAGTTTGATAAAAAACATATGACTATGGGACATAATAAAGGCCTAGATAGCCCTGGCTGGTATTACTCAGTGGATTGAGTACCCTCCTGAAAACAAAGAGTCACCATTTGATTCTGTCAGGGCACATGCTGGGGTTGCAGGCCAGGTCTCCAGCAAGGGTCATGCGACAAGCAACCACGCACACATTGATGTTTCTCTGCCTCTCTTTCTCCTTCCCTTCCCCTCTAAAAAATAAATACATAAAGTCTTAAAACAAAAAAAGACCTAGATAATGGCAGGTTTTCCCCACCACGAAAACAAGGTACAAAGGAAGACAAGGCCTAAGTAAATAGAAAATAACAATTTTTTAAATTAAAATAAATACCTAATGATAAACTGAAATAGCAAGAGAAATTAGAATTGATGCTATAAAATGGAAGACACAGTGGTTGAAATTAGAAAGTGCTGTGGTATTGAAATTGATAGCAATGTAGAAGTTAGAAGTTTTGGTTTTCGTTTTCTTTTAATTTTTTAATATATATTTTATTCATTATGCTACTACAGTGGTCCCATTTTTTTTCTACCCTTTATTCGCCTCCACCCTGGACCACCCCTCCCCACAGCATTCCCCCCACTTTAGTTCATGGGCATGGGTCATACATATTAAGTTTATTGGCTTCTCCATTTCCTATACTATTCTTAACTTTCCCCTGCCTATTTTATACCTACTATTTATGCTGCTTCTTCCCTGAACCCTTTTCCCCATTTTTCCCCTTCCTCCTCTCCTCTGATACACATTCCTACGATTCTGTTCCTGTTCTAGTTGTTTGCCTAGTTTGTTTTTGGGCTTTTTTCTTTTTTAGGTTCGGTTGTTGATAGTTGTGAGTTTGTTGTCATTTTAGTCATTTTACTGTTCATAGTTTTTGATCTTCTTTTTCTTAGATAAGTCCTTTTAGCATTTCATACAAAGGCTTGGTGGGGATGAACTCCTATCACTTGACCTTATCTGGGAAGCACTTTATCTGCCCTTCCATTCTAAATGATGGCTTTGCTGGCTAGAGTAATCTTGGATGTAGGTCCTTGCTTTCATGACTTTGAATACTTCTTTCCAGCCCCTTCTTGCCTGTGAGGTTTTTTGAAAAATCAGCTGATAGTCTTATGGGAACTCCTTTGTAGGTAACTGTCTCCTTTTCTCTTGCTGCTTTTAAGATTCTCTCCTTATCTTTAATCTTGGGTATTGTAATTATCATGTGCCTTGGTGTGTGCTTCCTTGGGTCCAACTTCTTTGGGACTCTCTGAGCTTCCTGGATCTCCTAGAAGTCTGTTTCCTTGGCCAGATTGGGGAGGTTCTGCTTCAGTATTTTTTGAGGCAAGTTTTCAGTTTTTGCTCTTCCTCTTCTCCTTCTGGCACCCCTATGATTCAGATGTGGGAATGTTTAAAGTTGTCCCAGAGGTTCCTAAGCCTCCCCTCGTTTATTTGAATTCTTGTTTCTCCATTCTGTTCTGGTTGAATGTTTATCTCTTCCTTCTGCTCCCAATCGTTGATTTGAGTCCCGGTTCCCTTCCCTTCACTGTTGGTTCCCTGTATGTTTTTCTTTATTTCACTTTGTGTAGCCTTCACTTTTTCCTCCATTTTGAGACCATACTCAACCAATTCAGTGAGCATCCAGGTTACCAGTGTTTTGAACTGTGCATACGATAGGTTGGCTCTCTGTTCATCACTTAGTTTTATTTCTGGAGCTTTGATATGTTCTTTCATTTGGGTCATATTGCTTTGTCTCAGTGTGCCTGTTACATTGGGAGGGGCAGAGCCTTACGTACTCACTCAAAATTAGAAGTTTTATGGAACCCAAAAAAAAAAATGTTTAGTTTAGAAAAAGTATGTATCCAGCAATGACTAAATACAGTGAAGATCAGGACTTAATACATAAATGATTATCGCTGGAAAGTAGGATTTACCAGATTCCTCTACTACCTGGAGCATGATAAACAGGGTCAGATAAATATAATAATATATAATATTCCTTATGCTGATTACAGAATCTTCTAACTGCTCTAGCCTCCTATGTAGATTTATGAGTTTTGGAAAAAAGTTGAACCTTCCAAATTGAGTATTCTACTTTATAGCATTGACTCACTATGGTAAATTAATAAGTTGACATAATTATAAAACTACTCTCTTGTCTTACAAAAATAGGGTATGGCACAAATAACACTCTTTTTTTATTACACAATCTTTTATTACACAATCATAAGCATGTAATTCTGTAACATAACAATATCACATTCAAGCATACCACATGACATTTTAGGTGAAATGTTCAAATTAAAACTATAAATTATTACACCCATTATTATTACCCTACCAACCACACTCAAGTAGGCGTTACTTCTGCCAGATCTTGTACATGCACACAGTTCAAGGCTAGACCATTTTCATTTACTTAAGAATTCTGTTCCAAATCCATAAGGATTAGATCTTTAAGAATAAATAATAATGCACCCTAGCTGGCATGGCTCAGTGGATTGAGCGCTAGCCTGCAAGCCAAAAGGTCGCCAGTTTAATTCTCAGTTAGGGAACATGCCTGGGTTGTGGGCAAAGTCCCCAGTTACGAGCATGTGAGAGGCAACTCCTTCTCTCTCACACAACCATGTTTCTCTCCCTCTCTGTCTCCTTCCTTTCCCCTCCCTCTAAAAATAAATAAAATCTTTAAAAATAATAATAATAATAATGCTAATTTTTGAAACTTTCCCCAAGAAAGCTGTTTATAGGATGATGTAGAGGATATAGAGAACACAGACTCTGCTCTGAGTGCTTCCTGGGGGAATGGGGAATGCAACATAACACTTTTCTAAGTGTCAATAATAGCATGAGCTCAACACCAAAATTCCAAGAAGGCACTAAGTAAATGTGAGAACTGTACACACAGAAAAAGTTTATTTGGTAGACAAAGAGGGAAGAAAGAACTGGAAAGGTGTCAGACAAAAAACATAAAAATAAGGAACTGATCTAAGCCTAGGTGTTTTCTCTCAAAATCTTTAAAATTATAAAATTGAAAAATGTTTCTTTTATTAGAAATAGAAAAGAATTACTTAGGTTGGGGTATTTGGGTTCCTTTTTGAAGGATTTTAATTGCTTTTACTTCTCTCCTTCTTCTGTATGCTATTTCTTCCCTTTTACTCTCCCCTTGTCCTCGCCTTTCACTTTGTCCCACAGTAAGGGACTGTGGCCAGGCTCAGTCCAATCTCCATCTCAACAATAAGGCTTGAGTGGGCCTAAGGAGTGCCAGAATCAGAGGTGAGTGCCTGGGTACTCTTAGCTGTATGACCTTGGACAAATTGCTTTATCTCAGTGTCTTTGTCTTCTCATTTATAATCTAGGAACAATAACATCAGCCCATAAGGTTGACGTAAGATTAAATAAATTACAATAATATAAGCAAAGTGTTTAGAAATGTGCCTGGCATTATAAATATTGTTAGCCTCATTACATGTTGCATCTCAGTTTCTACCAGAGGCTTTCAGGTGTGTGTGAAGGATCTAGCTTAAGCCTTAGCCCTTGGCACGTATAAAGAATAAAAAGAGATCATTAGCATAGGTTCAGAAGAAAATAAGGAATGGAGAAGGGAAAATAATCATTTCATTTCGATTCTTTCTTCATTTCATAAACAGATACATGGATGTTTTTAAAACTATTAAAAATACTTATTAGCTTGTTTCTGTTTTAAAAGGAGCAATATCTTTACCTGGTCTTTCCACTTTTATAACCTCTGCTCCAAGATCTCCTAAATTCATAGTAGCAAAAGGTCCAGCCAGTACTCTATAATATTAAACAATGATAAACAAATTACTATGTTGAAGATTTTTATTTTAATTTTCTTAATAGTCCATGAACACAGACAAGTTCATATAACACTAGTAAGAATTAAAATTGTTAGAACTATTCAAAAGTAATTTGGCCATACGTATCAAGAGCTTTAAAAAAATATATTTCCTTTGATGCAACAATTCTACTTCCAGAATTCTATCCTAAAGAAGAAATTAAAAGATTCCTGAGACAAAGATTTATATAATAGGAAGCCTAATTTATAATAGTGAAATATAGGGGGATGATTAATTTTGTAACAACTATATAATAAAATATTGTATATTTTGTTGCATTTTGAATGACATAGAAAACCATTCAAAACATAACCTAATGTTTAAAATGTGAGTAAAAGCATTATTTCAGTATGGTTCAAATTTTTGTTTTTAAAATATATACATGCAGATTGAAAAAAATGCATAAATACTATACAAACTGTCTTTTAGAATGATAAAATTACAGGAATTTTTCTCTTTTTTCTTTCCAAAATTGTGATACTAAGTATATAAACAAGTACACTCTTACAATGTAAAAAATAAATGAATATTTTTTGAGAGAAAGTTAAAACGTAACCACCAAAAACAGATAAGCCAATACAAACCTTGTTAGATCCAGAATTTTTACACCCTCCAATGGCTTCATATTGTCAGTATCTGGCAAAACACAGAACACACTTGAAGAGTATTGATTACTAATTTTCAGAAGGAAGAATGCAAAATTCTTCATACTATGTTTTAAGCAACCTCTTTTACTACCAAAAAGTTATTTTTACACTATTTCTGCTTTATATGTAACACAGAAATCATGATCTGACCAATCAGATCAAGCTGTAAAACTTAAAGCCTCCATTTACAGATTATTCCCAATTAATTCAATACCGAGCTACACTTAAGATAGTTTATGGTACTTCCAGTTAAGATGGAGGCATAAGCAGACATGGCTTGCTTCTTCCTCACAACCACATCAAAATTACAACTAAAATATAGAAAAACCATCACTCAGAACTGCCAGAAATCGAGTTGAATAGAAGTCTGACAACTACAAAATTAAAGAAACCACATTCATCCACAATGGTAGGAGGGGCACAGACGTGGAACAGGCTGGTCCCACAACCACATGTGGTGGATAAAAATTCGGGAGGGATATCTCAGGAGCAAGGAGGCCTAGGCCCATACCAGTCCAGTGTTCCAGGACCAGGAAAGTGCCCACAACTTCTGGCTACAAAAATCAGCAGGGATTGAGTCAGCTAGAGCCCCAAGCAGTTCATCTTAAAAACCCACACATGGACTCACGTACTTGGACTCACTCCTTCTGACCTCCAGCACAGGGGTAGCAGCTTGAAAGGCACCAGTGGCATACTGGGAGAGGCTGAAGTGTCTGGCATCAAAGCAAGCAGAGGCCATTGTCCCTGTCTAAATCCTCCCCACACAGAGCCCATAAACTGGTGCCATATCTGAGACTCCATCTGTCTAACACCCTTGATCCTGCCTTGGAGATCTGTCCCAACCAATTTATGGGCCGACCCAAGCTGCTTTTCCATATGAATGACTCATCTTGGTTCATGCTGCACAACTTCCTAAATTCTCTCAGACAAGCAATAGCTGGCCTCAGTGAGTCCCAGGTAAAGCACTAGCAGAAGCCATCCTAGAGTCACAGCTTGGCTTCACCTGGATATCTCCAAGCCCAGCAAAAGTAGCAGCCATCTCAGAGTGCATTAAGGTTCAGGCAGGGTGGCCCCGGGTAAAACACAAGTTGGGGCTGAGCTTGGCCTGCATCACTCAGGAAACCCCAGGGCCAGCACGCCTAGTAGACAGCTATAGATCACATCAGAGCACCACCACCCCGCCCCTCCACGGTTGATCCTCCACAGACAGCAGAGGTTGGTGGTAAGTGGTCATAGCCAATCCTTGCAGTAAACTGGCCTTGGTAAATATTTCCCATTGACCTGAAAACAGCAACCAAAGCTCAGCTACAATAGGAGGGTGTATTCATGTAACAGGGCACAGCCAGGGCCCCCCCAAAGGGTATTTTGTAACGGGGTCCAGAGATTGGGGTATCCAAGAAAAATATATTCTCCACGCGGGAAGAAAGAGGGGAGAAAGGACTTTTGCTAGTGGGCCAGGAGAAGGTGCCTCAGGGTTATGGAATAGAGCTGGTGACGCAGTAGATGGTGCTGAGATCCGCGAGAGGCCTGCCTAGCCGAGCCCCAGACTTCTGTTCTTTTTCTTCTGAAGGACGGTACCCCTGACTGGCATGACTAGCCTAGCTGGGCAAAGGGGGGAAGGCAGGACGGTGTGTGTGCTGGTAATTTTTTTGAAGGGATTTTGAGGTTTAAGGGTGACATTTAGCCATTAATCAAACCTGTATAACTTTTGAATAAATAGTTCCTTTTCCTTCTCACCAAACTCTGCCATTCAGAGCCATAATTCCAAGGGCAGCGGGCAAAGAATCCACAACCAAAGGGTCCCGGGTGAGGAGGGTGTCGTTGTTTTGGTAATAGCATCTGGGCACCCCCGCCATGGGTCCTTTTGTTCGGTAACACTCCACCCACACAAAGGGCACTCCTTGAACACCCAACTAGGGATATAGAGGAGCTGTGCCACTGGACCCTACAGAACATCTACTACATTATGCCACACTACCAAGACATGCAGTCGAAGAGCTCTATTTAATACACAGAAAACACACACACACACACACACACACACACACACACACAGGCTGCCAAAACAAGGACACAAAGAAACAGCCCAAATGAAAGGACAAATCAAAACTCCAGAAAAAGAGCTAAGTGAAATGGAGATAAGCAATCCATCCGATGCAGAGTTCAAAACACTGGTTATAAGGATGCTCAAGGAACTTAGTCAGAGTCTCAAGAGCATAAAAAAGATCCAGTCACAAATGAAGGATACACTACTTGAAATAAAGAACAGTTTACAGGGAAACAACAGTAGACTAGATGAAGCCAAAAATCAAATCAGTGATTTGAAACATAAGGAAGAAAAATACAACCAATCAAAACAAGAAGAAATAAGAATTCAAAAAGAAATGAGAATAGTGTAAGCAGCCTCTGGGGCATCTTCAAGAGGTCCAACATTCACAAGGTGCAAGAAGGTCCATGATTCATAAGGGTGCAAGAAGGGTAAGAGAAAGAGCAAGAAATTGGAAACCTATTTGAAAAAAATAATGAAAGAAAACTTCCTTAATCTGGCAAAGGAAATAGATATGCAAGTCCAGGAAGCACAGAGAGTCTCAAGCAAGTTGGATGCAAAGAGGCCCATTGCACAGTACATCATAATTAAAATGCCAAAAGTATTTGATAATGAGAGAATATTAAAAGCAACAAGAGAAAAGAAGTTAGTTATCTACAGGGCAGTTCCCTCAAGACTGTCAGCTGATTTCTCAAAAGAAACTTTGCAGGCTAGAAGGGATTGGTTAGACATATTCAAAGTCATGAAAAGCATAGAACTACAGCCAAGATTGCTCTACTCAGAAAAGATATCATTTAGAATCAAAGGGCAGATAGAGAGCTTCCCAGACAAGAAAAAACTAAGGAGTTCATCATCACCAAACCATCATTATATGAAATGTTACAGGGACTTACTTAGAAAAAAGAAGATCAAAACTGAACAACAGGAACTTCTGGTCAAGATGGAGGTGTAGGAATACATGTTTTGCCTCCTTGCACAACCATAAGAAGGATCACAGCTAACCTGAAAACAAAAAACTTCCAGAACTGCCAGAAAATCAAACTGTATGGAAGTCCAAAAACCAAGGATTTAAAGAAGCCATATTCATCCAGACAAGCAGAAAGGGCAGAAACAGGGAATCGGGGCTGAAAGGATGGGATGTGGCAGCAGTGGCAACAGAGAGGCAGTGGTTGTGGCAGCTGGCAGAACAGGCAGTCCCACTATCACATGTGGTGAATAAAAATCAGGAGGGCTACCTGGGAAGCAAACAATCCCAGCCCTGGGCCAGACCACAAAGCCCAGGGTTCTAATACCAGAAAAACAAAGCCTCACAACTTCTGGCTATAAAAACCAATGGGGCTTGGGGAGGCAGAAAAAACTGCTGGTCTCTCAGAAGAGTCTGTTTAAAGGGCCCACACAGTCCTAAAATGTACACTTACCCACCCTCTGGGAACCAACACCAGGGCAACAGTTAGAAGGGTGCCAGTTGCATACAGGAAGTGGATAAAGTGACTGGAAATGGAGCAAGTACCCAGCAAGCCTCCCACAGCCAGGTAGCAACACTGTCCCCTCTCTGACCCCAACCCTACATGCAGAGTCACAAAGCGGTGAAGGGGTATAAAGATTCTTATCTAGGGGGTCTCCAAGCCTCACTGCTCTAGTAAGGAATACTCGAAGTCCATACAGTATGCATTCACTTCTTGAAATAAGCCAATTTATCCTTTTACAATAAGAAATTGCTCACTTCCTGCCAAGATGGAGGTGAAGGTAGATATACTTTGCCTACTCACACAACCAAAAGAAGGACAACAAATTTAAAAACAAAAAATAACCAGAACTGCTAGAAAATCAAACTGTATGGAAGTCTGACAACCAAGGAACTAAGAAGAAACATTCATCCAGACCAGTAGGAAGGGCAGAGATGGGCAGCTGGGGGTGGAGAAGACACACGGCAAGGTGGCCACTAGAAGACCAGGTGGTCCTAATTTGTATGTAGATACACTGAGAGGGAAAGTTGGGGAGCGAGACAGACTGTACAATCCAGGGTTCCAGTGCAGGAAGAGAAAGCCAAAAAACCTCTGGACGTAAAATCCTGTGGGGGTTTCAGTAGCAGGAGAAACTCCCAGCCTCAGAGGAAAATCCACTGGAGAGACCCACGGGGTCCTAGAACTTACAGAAACCCACACACCTGAGAATCAGCACTAAAGGGCCCAATTTGCTTCTGGGGAGCGGGGGAAATGACTGAAAGCCAGCAGAGAGCCGAACAAGTGGCATTGTTCCCTCTCTGACCCCTCCTCCACATCCAGTGCCACAAAGCGACCTGGGTTGCCCTGCCCTGGCGAATACCTAAGGTTCTGCCCCTCCCAATGTAACAGGCACACTGAGACAAAGCAATATGACCCAAATGAAAGAACATATCAAAGCTCCAGAAATAAAACTAAGTGATGAACAGAGAGCCAACCTATCGTATGCACAGTTCAAAACACTGGTAACCTGGATGCTCACTGAATTGGTTGAGTATGGTCTCAAAATGGAGGAAAAAGTGAAGGCTACACAAAGTGAAATAAAGAAAAACATACAGGGAACCAACAGTGAAGGGAAGGGAACCGGGACTCAAATCAACGATTGGGAGCAGAAGGAAGAGATAAACATTCAACCAGAACAGAATGGAGAAACAAGAATTCAAATAAACGAGGGGAGGCTTAGGAACCTCTGGGACAACTTTAAACATTCCCACATCTGAATCATAGGGGTGCCAGAAGGAGAAGAGGAAGAGCAAAAACTGAAAACTTGCCTCAAAAAATACTGAAGCAGAACCTCCCCAATCTGGCCAAGGAAACAGACTTCTAGGAGATCCAGGAAGCTCAGAGAGTCCCAAAGAAGTTGGACCCAAGGAAGCACACACCAAGGCACATGATAATTACAATACCCAAGATTAAAGATAAGGAGAGAATCTTAAAAGC